AGTTTTCATTTTAATCTTAAAATCACGTCCAGTCCAACGACACGCTGCGGACTGAGCGTCGTGTCCTCGCAGCTGCGGTGAAACACTGCGGCCGGTCCTCACAGAGGTAGCACTGTCCGCGCACACACGCAGAGAGAGAGATCCTGCCTTTGCGGAAGCCGGAGGAGCCGAGGCGGCGCTAAATTAAATTAGCATACTAACTAGTTATCTGTGCGCCGCTGTGGATGGACGGCTGAGCGGAGCTGCCTCGACACACACTCGGTTTCTAAAGTCAAGACACCAGCGAGTCCGGCCTCATTTTGTCGGGATCTTCCTGCCGTCCGCCTGCCGAGGAGATGGGGGACAAGGCGGGCACCAGGTAGGACGGCTAGGCTACGGCGGCTAACGGCTAGTTAGCTTCGGCTCTCACGCACTTTGCTAGCAGCGGCGCTGCTGGCCCGGGCGGAGGGAGTTTTTCCCGGCCTGGGCAGCGCGGATTTACCCGTTTTGTTAGAAAAAAAGCCGACCCAGGGAGCACTGAGCGGCCCCCTGGTTCGTGCTTGAACCCCCGAGACGATGACCTCGTTCGCTGGAGGCGAAGTTAGCTCAGCAGGGTGGGGTTAGCTAACCGCGGTGCGACTCCAGCGGGCGTTCCAGCCTCCGCTCACAAACTGTTAAATTTCAACATCTAGTCAATGTGCCAAACTAATGCACAATAAGCCATAAATAAGTGACCAGTACCACCAGATATTTACGCTGGTACACATGTTAAACCTGCGGCTGCACTAGTTTAAACGCAGACTAGTTTTAGTGCCGTGGACAGGAATTCCCACGGTGCTGCTCCAGCAAAACACGGCCGTAACGTCCGCGTTGGTGGGCGGTATCGACCGTAGAAATCTGGAGTTAAACTCCAGATTTCATTGCATTATAGCGCTAATTAGTGGGTCGCACTGGTGCCGATTTTACCCGCAGATCTGAGCGATTCTCTGAACACACAGGTCCGTGTTCGGTCCCGCTGACAGCAGCAGCACCGACTAAAAACACCGTTTTCTCCAACGGACTCTGGTGCCGTTGCCCTGCTGCTGAGACGGGCTAACGTGGGAGCCGTGGTACCGCAGGCTCATGCTAATTAGCTCTAAATGTGTTTGGACGAGCTTGAAGGTTTCTGTTCGACATGTATTGAACGAGGTTTGCTGTAAATAGCAGGTGGACAGCCTGTTTGGGCCGCCGGGTCGATCTGAACCGACCGTCGGTTCTGTAAGGCTCTGGAGCCTCTCAGTGTGTTTACACCGTGGACTGGGTTAGCTGCTGTGGTTCTGCAGCAGTCGGTACCGTGGTGGTGGATCTGGATCCGGACCAGGCGGACAGACTCCAGCTGTCACTGCGTCTTTACGCCAACAGAACCACGTCCAGGAGCAGAACCAGAGACAGCTGCTTGTGCAGAACCGGTTTCATGACGTGACAGGTGAACTGGGTTTGTGTCTCGTGCAGCTCTTTCTGGCCGGTAGCGTGGTGATGCTGGAGGTGCTGACTGACTGCTGACATGTTGGTGGAGACTAAAGGCTTCTTCAGCTGCTCGTGTCAGGCTGGTTCTGGGACTTTTCCAACCAGGACATTAAAGCACTGAGGTCCACATGTCAGGTTGGTTCTGTGACTTTTCCAACCAGGACATTAGAGCAGGTCCACCTTGTGGCCTGCTGCCCGGCAGCTTCCTGACAGGAAGCAGGTGGAGGCAGGAGGAAGCGGCGTGCTGCTGCAGACATGGCTGCTATCTGGCCTCCTGTAGATGTCAACATCAGCGCTGTTGACCCGCTGGACTTCAGGGTTTCTGTGGCTCGCTGCTGATTATCTGAGCGGCTCCGGCTGTTCACACGTCACCAGTGGAAAGTTTTCTTTTACCTCTCACCTTTTGTGTCTGACAGCTGTGGAGCCTTTTTCCACTGCAGGAACTTTAAAGCCGCCCTAATGAATATTTGTATGTGAGCGGATCAGCCTGGGCCCGCGGACGCTGGAGCTGGCAGCCGTCAGAGTTCTGTGCAGCTTTCCAGGTCATGGTTTTGGCTTTACTTCTGGTTTACTGTCACCGCTGTCGTCGTCTGTGCAGATGTTTTAACCCCAGAGCAGAAAAACCAGAGGCTGCAGCTTCCAGTCAGTCACGTATTTGGTCTCGTAAACGTCAGAACATGTCGATCAGTGTTTCCCAAATACACAAATCAGAACCAGAGTCCTTCGCTGAGCTCTGAGGGGCTCATGTTCCAGCTGCTCCTGTTCAGAACCACAAACCTAAACAGTACAAGATGTATAGATAAACATACGGATAAAATATGAGCCAACAATCTAAACACGACTAGAAAACTACATCCTGACCGTGTAGACATGAGCAGAGACATGATGTGAACTTTACCAATAAAACTGAATTAATTGTAAATGTTCATCCACATATGTTCACTTTAGTGTCGTCTAGGAGCAAAGAAACCAGAAAATATTCACCCTGATCAGAGAAATTAGTTTAGTTTTCTTAAAATGACTAATTGATCTTTAAAGTTATCGCTCCAGAGATGAGATCTAATGACTGTAATGTGGAATTTTAGTAAATGTGAGCTACGTTTTGTCAAAGTATTCCTAGAAAAGAAGACGACTGGTTCGGCAGAAAAGTCACCTGCGACCGTTGATGGATGAATAGTTTCAGGTGTTTTTCATCTAAGATGCAAACTGGACCAGACGGAACATCTGCTGCTTTTCTTCGCCTCGCGTCAGAACAAACAGCAGAAAAACAATCAGCAGCTGTTTTGGTGATTTAACGAATTACTCGAGTCGTTTGTGGAACAAAACGTAGAATTTTAGCAGATTTGATGCTTTTCTTTGTCGCGTATCGACGCAAACTGAATGTTTGACGTGAAGCTGCGTCGTTTCTCCAGAATCGTCAGTTTGTTCACGTTTTGGTGTTTAAACACTCGATTGAGGCCCAAAGAAACGCAGCCTGACCTGAGCAGAACCAGTGACTGGACCGATTAATGACTGACTGTGGAGCTGAGGTTTGTCTTTATTTCAGTGAATCACGTCGTCTGTCAAACACAGACGGCCGGCGTTGGTCTTCTTGTGTCGAACTCTTCACAAACACCACAAACCACTTTGTTTTTTTTCTGCCATTTTTGCCTGAAATCGGTCAAAACAACCAACGGATCTCGTTTAGTTCGACACGAGCCTCCAGTTTGTCTTCATCCAATATTCATCCAGTGTCGGTCAGAAAAACCTCGTTAGTCCGACTCGTTCCAGTTTAACCAGGTGGTCAATTAGCCGCCGCATTAATCAATCATAAATATCGATTAAACCGACCACATGTTGATCGGTTCATCAGCAACGGCTGCAGTTCAGTTTGATGATCTTCCAGGAACCAGGAGCCTCTCTGGTTCCATCAGACGGTACCACGAGGCGTCTGTGTTGCGTTTAGGTGACGCGCTGGAGGCCGTAAAGATGATCGACGGTTTGCGGGCGGCAGCTCGAGTGTGTTTGTGTTCAGGAAGTGTGGCGGCGGCGGCGCGTCCAGCCGGCAGCAGGAAGCTCAGAGAGAAGCTCAGCCGGCAGGTTGAAACGAACGCCTCTGGACTGAAGCTCATACAAACTGTTCTGTTAAATTACACATAATGCCGAGTAAAATCACACTAACGATGCTTTATTTTACCAGCTAGCTGTAAAAGTAGAAACAATATGAACTGTCTGCATAAATAGAAATTAATAAAACAAACCTCGACTGCAAATAAGTCGAGTTACTTCACAATCATTAGCTGTTGTTACGCTCAACTTTATTTCTGAAGCGCCTTTAACACAACAAAACCTAAAACCATTAAAACAACTAAAATGCAAATACAATCAAATTCTAATCAAATCATTGACGGACAATAAAACAGAAGTTCTGTGTATTAAGGACTCAGATGTAGTTTTACAGAGTGATTCTAATTACAGATAAAATCTAGAAAAGTATTTATTTACTAGATAACAGTAAATAAAATAAAAAACCCAAAACATCCACAACAACACAGCAGACACTATTTATGATTTAAAATGAGTTTTTTTTTTTTTTAGACCACTCGACTATAAAATTACACTGTTTTAAAACGGTAGATATTTTTTTGCTGATTTTTTTTTTAATTAATTAAAAATTAATGAAATTATTTCACATTTTTAACAGACATCTGTTTTATTTTACAGATTTTTCTTGTTTGTGTGAAATCACAGAAAAAACCAACAAACAACTAAAACAGGCTCCACATCAGTGTTTGTTTGTTTGTTTGTTTAGTTTTGATGGTGATGAATAATAGTTAAAGCAGCGTTTATTTTATATTTTAAATCTGTTGCTGTCGACTCACCACAGAAAACAAAGTAGAAAATCTACAGTCTGTTGTTTCTCTAAATCACGTGAGCGTGTGGCGCCGCTCGCCTCCCGGTTTGGACTCATTTCAGTATAAAATGATTCAAAACGCTGCAGCTGTTGGTGTCGGTTTATGTTCTGTTGAATCTTAAACGAATTCTAGCTGCAGAAACGTTCCAGAAACATCTCGGTAAAGTTTGGAGCCTGAAGAGCAACACGAACATTCAGTGAAACCTCCAAACCTGATGTTTGTTGATCTGCTCAGCTGACGTCTTCACAAGTCCTCAAACGGCCTCGACGTCCAGACGATGAAACTCAGCAGCTGATGCTGGAAGCTGCAGTCTGGACTTTTTTTGACTCAAACAATTAATCAGAAAACAAAACGGCTGCATTCAGCGAAGCCAAGACGAACTCTGTTTTGGAGATTTTGACTTATTTTTTAATTTTTTTTTAAAGAGAATCTGTTTTCAAAACCACTAAAATATGGGACGACAATAGATTGAATCGTTAATAACGTAAATTAAAAGTGTGGAAAAGTAAAAAGTCACACGTGAACATTTGCTTTTAGAAAATCTAAGTTCCAGCTGTGGATGAATCTGTTTGAAAGTTTAACCATGAATCTTCTGCTCAGATCATCTGAGGAACGAATAAGATTTAATGAAGCGGTCGGACATGAACTCTGGCGTCCAGCTGAGAGCTTCACAGGTGACATCACTGGGTGGGGGGCGGAGCTTCCTGCTGCAGGTGAGCCTCCGCCGCCACGTCCAACCGTCTGGAAAGTTTTAGCAGCAGCAGCAGCCAGTCGAGCGTTAAATCGTGTTTACGGGCTGTTTTGTTGGGTTTCGTTCCCTCGGCGGCCGGTTGTTCGTCACGTCGACTCCGGGGAGGAACCGGAGGAGACAGAAAAACACGTTGTCATGGCGACGACAAACCGTCGGAAACAAGAAGTCGACGGATTTTAAGGAGTTCGCTGCGTTTGTTTGTTCATGTGAGAACAGAACTCAGATGGATTTGTTGTGTGGAGCAGAGAGAGCGCCGAGTTACTGGAATAAACCAGTAAAAGAATCAAAACACACAAATGTTTGTAATATTGTGGCATCGAGACATGAATTAAGTTGTTTTTAGATCAAACTAAACAATATTGGTTTAAAAAATTAAATATATTGAATTCCTTATTTATTTTAGAGATGAGTTAGAACTTTATTGGTTTAGAAAGAAATTAGTTTTTAAATATAAATAAATGAATGTGTGCTGTGAACATGATTATAAAAAGAGTTGCATCAACACGTGTGTGCTCTAAACATGATTTATTTTTATTCTTTAGGTACATTTCTAGAACATTTTGGGATCCAAGTGTTTCTCTAATTAGTCTGATAAATCTAATAAATACGAGAGGCTCCAAAGCGTCTTTGAACTGATCAGCTGAGTTGATCTCATGAATCGTAGCGTCTGGTTTCACCGCAGACTCACGGTTCTGTTCATGTTCAGCTCCAAACCTTCAGCCACATGAAGTCCAGCCGACACCAGAACGCCTTCGGTTCCAGCAGCGAGCGTCGTTTTAATCTCAGATTCACTCAAAATCTCTGAGCTCCGTCTCCGGAGGCCCGTTTTGTCCGACCGGCACCAAAAGTCCTCGTGATTGGAGCAGAAACGCAGCGGCTGGAAGGTTCGGTTCTGTGAGCGTGATTCGTGTTCCTGCGACTCGATGTCCTGCAGCCGTTTCTGGAAGCTGCTGATGAGTGATTTTAGCAGAAAGTTCTGGGAGATCATTGGGCTGGATGGTGACCCGCTTAGGCCCGGTTTAGTTTGGTTCCAGGTTTTACTCCAGAACAAGCAGAAAACAGCCTCATGTTGTCGTGGCTGGAGCAGGAAATAAGCGAGTCATTGATTCTGTTTTCACGTCGTCCTTCGTGCAGCTGCTGATCAGAACTTTGGCTCGTGGTGGAGATTTAAAGACGTCCAGCGTCAGAGACTCAAACCGTGAAGCTCAGACGGGTCTTTGTTTACGACACACTTCAAACCATTTCTTTTGTCGGATTTATTACCAAACATCACAGTTTCCGATGGAGGGAACGTGGAACAATTTAGCTTTTTGTCGGAGACAGAAATCGACTTTAATGATTATTGTCCTCGTGAGTGACCGTCGTGGTTAATTGGTCTGTAAAATGTCTCTAATTCTGTCATTAACGAGCAAATCCTCCCGTTTTTAGACGCTGTGATCGCTGAGTTTTTGCTGTTTGTGTTTGAAAGAGCACAAAGTGTCATCATCACTGATTAATCTGCTGTCAGTCGGCTTCTGATTTCTACTCTGATCCACATAAACGACCACAGATCCGGTGACGACGTGGTTCTGATGTGACGACGTGGTTCTGATGTGACGACGTGGTTCTGATGTGACGACGTGGTTCTGATGTGACGACGTGGTTCTGATGTGACGACGTGGTTCTGATGTGACGACGTCTTGTTTCGCTGGAAATCAAACATTTTTGGGGTCAAACAAACCAAGACATTGGATTAGATCAGCTCTGGTTCTGGGACGCTGTGACCAGACTGACCAGTACCAACATGAATGGTCTGTAACCGCCCCGATGGTAGACTAGACCTGAAGCTAGAACCGTGTGGATCCAGAACCGCGTGGAGCCGCTGTGTTCGTCTCCAGCGATCTGTGCAGCTCGTTCCAGTGTTTCTGTGTTTTGTGGAGCCGTGGCTGCAGATGGAAACACCACAGCAGTAAATAAGCCTCCAGCGCCAGAACTGGAGCCGCAGAAACCTGTAAATCAGTTTTAATTCGTGCTTTGAAGTGCTCTAAATATAACCGTGGTGTGGAGAGGATCAGCGCTCTGACAGGAAGCTGCTGTAAACACCGACGGCGGCAGCAGCAGCACGCCGCCGCTTCCTAATCTGGTTCTGCAGCTCGACGTGTTTGGGTTTGTCCTGGACGCCTCGGCCGCTCGGTACAAACCGGAGCCGTGACGACCGACCGGCTGGTTGGAGGAAGCGTCCGTGTTCCACCTCCGTCACCGCTGGAGCTGGTCCAGACGGAGTTAAAGGGAAATAAACCAGCAGCTCAGCTCCTCGGTACCGTACAGAACCTTCATGTTCCACAGTTTTTCTGTGGACTCGGTCTACCAGCATTGTCATGTGACCCAGACTGACCTGGGCTCTGGTTTCAGACTGGTGCTGGACTGGTTTTAGATGTGTTTGGACCTGGTGCTGGACTGGTTTTAGATGTGTTTGGACCTGGTGCTGGACTGGTTTTAGACGTGTTTGGACTTGGTTCTGGGCTGGTTTTAGACGTGTTTGGACTTCGTTCTGGGCTGGTTTTAGACGTGTTTGGACCTGGTTCTGGGCTGGTTTTAGACGTGTTTGGACCTGGTGCTGGACTGGTTTTAGACGTGTTTGGACCTGGTGCTGGACTGGTTTTAGACGTGTTTGGACCTGGTGCTGGGCTGGTTTTAGACGTGTTTGGACTTGGTTCTGGGCTGGTTTTAGACTTGATGTCTGACTGACTGAGGACTTGGTTTTCAGCTAGTTCTTGACGTGCTTTGGAGTCCGGACCTGGTTTTGAACCCGTTTAGGGACGAGCTGTGAACTTTGCTGTAAATCCTGGACTATGAGCTGCTTTGAACGCTGCGCCTTAAGCAACGATGTGGTTAATCGATGGATTTTTACGAATCTGCCTCGAGACCAGAGTGACGCTGAGAGCGTCGTAGTAACGAAGTGATTCTGAGGCTGTTCAGCTCCTGAAGACACTGAAGAAGACGACTTTAGTGGTTTCAGTGCAGGAGGAAGATGAAGATAGCCATCAGTGACTTTTCCTGGTAGCTGCTGGAGTTTTATTTCCTTAACCAGACGTGTTACAGGCACCGGTACGTATTTAATTTAAAGTTAAAACATCTTTGTGTGTAAACATCTCATGTTCCAACGTGGACGCCTGCAGCTTAGAGACCAGAGCAGCCTGGATATGGACACACCTGGTTCTCTTTTACAGTCAGTGGGTGTGGCTGATATTCAGGTGCCTCTATAGTCCAGGATTTACGGTAGATAAGCATAAAGATAAACTTTATTGATCCCACAGTGGGGAAAGTTCACCGTTACAGCTGATATGTGTTTCTAACCTGAAAAGCTGCCGCTCTGTTACTGTCCTCATGTTGTTGTACACGGTTTCTCTTTTTATTTATTTTTGATTTTGACTTTTATCATTTCAAAAGCCTCCTGTGGACGAGTGCTGTGAATGAGCACATGTGCTAAAACAGTCAAACAACGCATCTGGTTTGTCCAACGTAGCCGTGATGTCCACATCAAACAAACAGTAAAATAAAATAAAGAAGAAATAGAAAAAATCTAACAAGAATAATTTAGAAACACAGTTATGGGCTTGGTTTGGTTTAGACTGAATCAGGACTAGATTTTAACTTGGTTTCAGGAAATGAAGCGGGGCGTGGTGACGTGTCGGAGAAACTTCGCCGTCCAGACGTCAGGTATCGTCCAGATCTTGTGTTTGATGTTTGAACTCGTCTCTGGAGGTGAAGCAGCTGCTGGAGCGTTTATTAACGGGTTCAATCTGAGGTTCTGTCGCGTTCTCATCAGCTGAAGCCAGTAAAGTGAGAAGCCCTGTGGTAGCCATCCCATAATAACCCGGTCATATACGCCGAGTTTCTCACCTCAACCACTTCCCTGGTCGGTTTCAAACGAGGCCACTGTTTGTTTCAACACAGGGCAGGAAGCTGAGACACTTCCTCAGATTATTTTGACAGAAGCCTTCGGGCCACATGAGACGCTGGTTCGACTCCTTCACAGTGAAACTAACTCCAGCGTCTTCCTCTCTGCTCTCTCCACTTTCTGTCGTCTCTGCTTTTAAACCTCTCAGAGTTTTCAAGAAGTCGAGCCCCAACTGTAAGGTGAGTTTATCCACTCTGCGACCAGGAAACGGCACGAAGAGCAGCAGAGGAGGAAGTGACGCGCCGGAGCTTCATGTTTCTGTTTCCCAGAGGCTGAAGCGTCGAGGCCGACGCGCTGCTTTATGAGGCTGCAGCCGCTCCATCCAGTCCATCAACAGATATTCTCACCACAGCATGAAACCAAAGGACAGCTTCAAACTTCATAAGCTGTCAATTGTTTGGATTTGCTCACAATGAAACATCCCATAATAGCAGCAGACACATACAACCCTGTCAGGCCAAGTCTGACCCCAGGATGAGGGTTAGCATCCAAACATTTACACAACATTTGACAGGAAGTACGACCAGTGTACGTCCCAAATCAACAGCATCTCGTTAGAACAAAGTCTCCGTTTATTAAGCCTGAATGTTGAATTAGTCTATTTTTGTTTCATGTCCTGTAGAGCAACATGCTGAGGTTCTGTTCAAGTTCTAAAACTCTTGCTTCATATTCAGTGTTTTGGTTCTGATCTCACCAACTCACGTGAGACTCTGCTGGTTCTGTGCAGGTGACAGTTTACCTGGGAAAGCGAGACTTTGTGGATCACCTGGACCACGTGGACCCAGTAGGTGAGTCTCAGCACCGAGTGTTGAAACGTGTCTGCAGGTAGAAATGGACCTGATCTTGGTGGAGTCTTCCTCAGTTCTGACTGACTGGAGGACTTGTCAGGTACCAGTGATGCGGTCCTTCCACTCCTCACCAGGCGGTTCCACTACGGTTCACGTAATGAGCCGAGTGGGTCGTTGGCAACCTTCGATTCTTCACTGGTTTTGGTCGTTCAGTGGAATTCTCCGGTTGTTGGTGATCCTCGATTCAGTGGAGTTTTGGGTTTCGGATGATCCTCAGTTCAAGCGAGTTTCAGGCCATTTTAAAGTCTTAATTATGTGAGTTTTGAAACAGTGGGGAGTCTGGATTGATCACAGTTCATCAACAAGCTTGACTCTCCAGGTGTGGATGATCCTCAGATGAGTTTAAGGTAGTTGGCAAACCTCAAACTTCGACCGTTGATTAGCCTGAGATCCAGGTCATTGTTGAGCGTTGATTCATCGGAGTTTTGGGTCGGCGATGATCCACAAGTCGGCCGAGTCTGAGACCATCAATGGGCCTCAGTCAGTGGTGGGTTTTGGGTCCTCGTTGAGCCTCGATGAGTTTAGTTTGAGAATAAATAAGTGGATCCAGCAGTGGGTCAGAAATCAGGAAGTCTCTTGGATGAAGGTGAAACATCTTCAAGAATCAACAAAAAGTCCAGTTTCTTCTGCGGACGGAGAAACAGACTTGTTCTGTTCCTCGGAAGCGTTTCTAGAAGCTGCTTGACGTATGAACACGAGGTCCCGTTAGTTTGGTGTGTCGCTACAGAATCCATTTCAATCCTGTGCAGGAGCGTCGGGTGTGTTTACAGAACCTGAGCAGGTAGAACTTTATTCTGATGCTGCTGCTGTCGTCTGATTGTTTCAGATGGAGTGATCCTCGTCGACCCCGAATACCTGAAGGACAGAAAAGGTAGGTTCTGACTTCCACCCGCACAGACTTTCAGAATAAAAGACTTGTTCATCAGAGGTAGAAGCTCCTGGTCCGGTACACGGTGCTTTAGTACGAGTGTATCTGAAGTCTGACCTCCTGAGAATCTCATTTAAAATCCTTGAAAGTCATGAAAAGTCATGAAAAGTCTCATTTTCTGTTGATTAGGTGCGTTTGCTGTTTAACACACCTGTCGAGCAAAATGACGTGTGATTCGTCTGTTTATGATTTTTAACAGATGTTCTGGACATTTACTGACTCGTGTGACTCGGTTTGGTGTCTTAGAGCTTAAATCCAGCCTGAAGGAGCTTCCTCACCTGAATTTAATTTCATCAGTCGTTCTCACCGACTTCCTCCTTTTTTCTTTCCACTCATCGTTGTGTAACTTTGCTTCGTCGTGTCTGTTTCACCATCGTCTTCCTCTTTTTGAGTGATTTAATTTAAATAAAAAACCGAGATCGCCGGTTTAATGTCCAACACTGCAGGTCATCTGTTCTTCTTATGTTCAGTCCAGAGGTCCAAACGAACATCATTCATGTGACGACACACATGAACTCCTTTACATTACTTTTCCTTTATTATTGTTCAGCTCCTTTTTGTTTTTTTTTTGCTTATTTTTAAATATGGTCGTCTCCTAATTAGGATGTTTTCATGAGCGTTTACTGAACACGTGTGTAATTTATTTGTTCTGTTTGATGGATTCCAGGCATGTTAAAGAACATAAATGTTAGAATAACGTGTAAAAGTTCTTTAGAAGAGGTGAAGGCGTGTGTTCAGGTTAAAAAGCAAATAACATCCATATATTTAATTAAAGTCTGAATGAAGGTGTGTTGACTCTCCTCCTCTTCCTCAGTCTTCGTCACGCTCACCTGCGCGTTTCGATACGGACGCGAAGATCTCGACGTTCTGGGTTTGTCTTTCCGGAAGGACCTGTACATCTCCACCTTCCAGGTGAGAGCTGCACCTGAGCAGGTTTAGTCAGCAGGACACGACGCAGTGGTGTCGTTTAAACCGCCCGCCGGTGTTCATCAGAGCCGCAACGATATAGAAGTAAATGGTCTGATGGCAGTTTGTTGGATGTGGACGTTTTCTGGTTCCTCTTCTATAAACTGAAACACGGATCCGTCCCAGTTCACCACAACTAAAACTCATTTAGATAGAAGTCCTTAAATTCCTCCTTCTTCTCATTTCGCTGCCGGCGGCGAACACGAAGAAAAGCTGTTTGATTCATGGAAGGCTGCTGCACGAATATTCAGTTTGTGACAAAGAAACTCATCAGAGCTTCTCTGGTGACGTCAACATCTGCTGATGTTTACTTAAAAACCAACATTTTCTTTTCTTCTTGACACAGTCGTCCACTTCCTCTCAGTCGCTGATCAGAACTTAACATTTGGCGTCACTGAGTCGTATCTGAGTGTCCTCTTCAAAGCTGCAGCGATTAATTGAATCATTTATTAGCTGGTTTGAGTCATTTTTAATAGAAAAAAAGCGACATCAACAACATCAGTATTTCCTGGTTTCTTTGCTCCTCTATGACCTGATCCAGCAGCTGCTCAGTAACTCCACAAAACAATCGACGGAGAAAATGAAACTAAATCGATGCAAAATTCACATTTTTCAGCTTTTTCTCGTCCGTGTCGTGTCGGTGGGACGACCAGAGTAGTTGTTTATTGATGTTACAAACCAAACATGAATCTGCAGCTTTAACACTGAAATGCTGTTTAGATGTTTGTTCACCAGCAGCAGTAACGTTTCCTGATCACGCTTCAGTGTGTTTTCTTCTATCAGAGTTTTTCCGGCTCAGAATCTCTCCACGTTCTGACTGATGAACAAAATGTGTTTTAATCCTTAACAAGCAGTTCCTGGTTGGAGCGTTTCTACATGCTGGTGTTTGTTCTTTGTTTAACTTCACTGTCACTTGTGAGTGTTTTTAGTTGGATGTTGATAGACGTGTGTCAGAGAGTGTTGTTGTTCTGGATCAATAACCTGATCGATCACTGTGTCTCAGGCCTTCCCTCCGGTGCCTGAGGAGCGTAAACCCAACAGCCGGCTGCAGGAGCGGCTGCTGAAGAAGCTCGGCCAACATGCACATCCCTTCTACTTCACTGTGAGTCCGACTCCCCGGTAGAACCGTCCTGGTTCCGTGTTTACTCGTGAAGCTGCTTCGTCAGTGCAGCACGTGTGTTAGTGAGGACTTCAGACGTCCTGCTGTCAGCTTGTCCAGACATCGCTCCTTCAGAAAGGCATAAAGTGTTGATACACAAGTCAGACACAACACCCACCTCATGGGCCACCGTGGTTACCGTCAGCAGGACGACACACACACACAAAACAACCACAAAGACACGCAAAATGATCACAGACACACAACATAATGGAGGATGAACGTTGTCAATGGAGGACAGAGCCGGTGTCCAGGACCTGCTCGGTATCTTTCAGCCGGTTTTAACTCAACAACGTCTTTAAATGCGATGAGAATAAACAAATATGTAACGTAGTGAATCCTGGATGTGCTGTAAACAGGAATGTACAGAATATGCATCAGTTCAGGATGAGTTAACTCTGAAGGAAACCCATCTTCTGTAGTAAAACAGAAGTGTTCCTGGACACGTGATGGTCCGTTTCTGACCGTCCACACACGGCGGACTGGTTTCATCCTCAGACTCACTGTTTGTCTGTAACACGAAGGTCAGGATGAGAATCTCGTGTTGGTGTTTCAGAGACACTGAAAACGAGGATCTGCTGATTAACGGCGGCGACGTCGTGCAGCAGAAATGTGGGCGTCGTCGTCCCCGTGAGACCCAGAAGGTTTCAGGAAGCTTCTAATTAGACTAATGTGCTGAAACTTCCTGGTTCTGGAAGCAGCTGAGCAGGAATCCTCAAAGGCCTCCTCTGTGCTCTCACTTCCACCGCCGCTCATTCCTCTTTATTAGAAAGCAACCAGAGTTCAGAGGTCAGGACAACGTGGCTGCAGGCAGGAGGTCTGAAACATCAAGTTCTGCCGGTTCCGGTCGGCTCAGACCTCGACTGAGAACTCTTTATGTGATTCTGTGAACACAAGCTGCTCCAGTGTTTGCAGCGTGAAGCACGAATTAAGGGGAAAGTTCGCTGTGATGACTGAACTCTGACGCTCGTCTCTGTCTGTCTTCTGACCCAGATTCCTCAGAACCTCCCCTGTTCAGTCACTTTACAGCCCGGACCAGAGGACACCGGGAAGGTACCGCCCACCCACAGCCCTCCATGTTCAGCCTGTTGTCTCAGTCATGCTCAGTCCTTTATTTATATGTTATAGCCTTAATATCCAAGTCATTTACGCTTTAGTGTGTTAAAATCTAGATGGTTGACATAATTGTGCATTAAAATCCAAATTATTGCTGCTTTATTGGTTAAAATCCAGGTTATTGTTCCTTTCATGTGCTAACAATCAGGTCAGTGACATTGTTTTGGACGTTTTAAAGCCTTAAATGAATAATTGTGGGATCGTAAACAAACTGGACGTAGTCGTGTTACCGTAATAATATGTTAACATGAGAGAGCCGTCCTGATGTGATGTCGTTAGCTGTAAACCAGCAGAACGATCCGACCCGTGAACGCTGTGGTGCTGAAGGCTTCGTCTGTCTGCAGGCCTGCGGCGTCGACTTTGAGATCAGAGCTTTCTGTGCCAAGTCAATAGAAGAGAAGATCCACAAGAGGTGAGCCGGATGCTTTCAGACACACTTTACCTCCTAAAAAGTTGTTTTGTTCTGGTGTTCCAAACCCACGCTGGGTTTATCATCTGACCTCAGCAGCGACGACTCGGGCTTTTATTTTGTAGTCGGACAGGAAACTGAAGTCCGAGTCGGTGTTTCTGGGTCTGAGGGCGAGTTTTCCATAAATGCAAAACTAGTCGATGCGATTCGTAGAGGAGGGACGGAAACGAGCCACGACGACGGGGTTGGTGTGAATGTGTTTGGTGTCCGGAGGCCTTTAGCTCCTCGTTCGTCTCTTCAGGCTTCTGTTGATAAAAAACCAAAACAAACTCAGACTATTACAGAAAAGTTTGGCCATTTAAATCCATGTTATCGACACTTCTGAGCGGATAAAGTCCAGGTTGCTGCTACATTAGTACCATAAGTCCTTTTTTTAAATTCTTTGTGTTAAAATCCTTTTTTAAATGGTTTTGTGCAGTACGGTCCATTTTTAAATATATTTTTGTGCTTTAAAAGTCGGGTTATCGACACAAATCCATGTTATTGCTCCTCTAGTGGGTTCAGATCCTGGTTGTTCATACTTTAGTCTGATTAAAATCCAGATTATTGATTCTGTCGCGGCTTGAAATCCGTATTTTTTTCATACTTGTGTGCATTCAAATCTGATATTTCTGTTAAATTGGTGGTTTTTGACGTTTTTAGTGATAAAATCAGGTTTTTAAAATAGTTTAGAAGCGAGACTAGTCGATGCAAACACGACCGCTGATCAGGGGGACTCGTCGCCGGTTCGGTTCATCTGGAACGACCAAACCAGAAGCTGCAGCGTTGATGTCGTCTGACCGTGTCGTCGTCGTCGTCGTGGTGTTTGCAGGAACTCGGTGCGTCTGGTGATCAGGAAGGTCCAGTACGCTCCAGAGAAGCCCGGTCCTCAGCCCATGGTGGAGACGACTCGCAGCTTCCTGATGTCGGACAGATCTCTGCACCTGGAGGCCTCGCTGGACAAAGAGGTAGAAACGGCCGTCGGACCGCTGGTTCTGACCCAACATCCAACCAGTTCTTCACAGTTTAGTTCATTCCTTCCACACGTTAGAAAAAAAGGATTCGCTTATTTTTTGTTGTTGTTTGTGTTTGTTTTGTGCCTCGTTTCTTAGAATCTGATAAAACTTAAACTTCACGACATTCTTGTGCCAAAAATACTCAAAAAATCAAAACGTGACATTAGAATAAATATAAAAACTATTTACTAGTAAAAACAACAATAAATGAGCTAAAACAAGACCAGACGTTAATGGCACAAGAAACCTTTTTTCAACATTCATATTGCAGATGATAAAATCTGAACATGTCCTGATTTGCGTTAATCTCCAAACCAGAAATCTTCCCGTTAACTAAAGAAGCTCCAGAACTTTTTATTTTTATTCTGTTTGTTGACGTTTTTCCAGAAGCTAGTTTCTGAGGAGAAAGCACTGAGAACGGGCAGAAAGACGGACGTTTTCTTCAGTTTTTAGGAATAAACTGCGACAAAGTGCGGTTAAATAAACTCTTAAACGTGGACGTTGGATGTTTTAAAGTCATTATTCTGAAATCAGATTAAACAAGTTACACAATAACATGAGAATAAATGCAGCGACTCAGAGAACACTGGTACGACTGGTTTATTATAAGATCTGTTTGTACTAATTAATCACATTCTTGCTGCTTTATTGTGTTAAAATCCAGCTTTTTGTATTTATTACATATTTAACAAAGTAGAATTAAATAAATGAGGATAGAACTGTAAAGTAAGCAGTGAGTAAAACTGAATAATCATTGAAGGAAGCAAAACCAGATCTCCTCACGTGACCTCCTGAAGGGCCTCGGTCCTCATGTTGAGCCACGCTGAGCTTTGATTGGTCAGATTCAGTCACAACCTGCTGATGCTGTTCTTTATAAGACAGCGTGCTGACGTCTGTCTCCCATGATGCATTGCAGCTGTACTACCACGGAGAGCCGATCAGCGTCAACGTCCACGTCACCAACAACTCCACCAAGACGGTCAAGAGGGTCAAGATCTCCGGTTCGTGTCTCGCTTGGTTCTTCGTCTCTTCACGCTGCGTTTTGTTCGGCTCTAAACATCCGTTCCAGTTCGTCTGGAGCGCATCACGAGCATTTCTTCTTCAATTTGAGGATTTTCTGTGAATTCTGTTGACATTTGACCTGATGTGTTTGATTCTCTCTGCAGTGCGTCAGTATGCAGACATCTGCCTGTTCAGCACCGCCCAGTACAAATGTCCAGTGGCCCAGCTGGAGGCAGAGTAAGTCCCAGTTAGAGCTCCCAGTGCTCCCAGTGGTAAAACACCTTCATGTGTCAGCTCACACTTGGTTCTTGGCTCAGTTTTTGCTATTTAAAGATTAAAAACTAAATAAATTCTTAAAGCTCAAAATGTACTGAAGCCAAAGTGTTTAGCAGTTAAACCAGATGTAATGTTTGTCTTTCTTGTTTGGCCGATTCTCTGCACAGAAAGATGCTGAACAGACACGTTTAAAATCCCTTCAGATCGGCTTCAACAAGTCAAAAACAAATCTGACGAACTGCATAAAATGTGTTCAAGTTGTTTTTAGAACTGAACGACGTTGAAACTCGTTTATACCGACTGCAGCCAGCTTCACACTGATTTCACTGAGATGAAGCTGATGTTGGTTTAAACCGGTTTGAAACCAGACATAAACCGCACGACGCTGCCAGCTCTGTAGTTTGAACCGAGGAGGCGGAGCTTAGCCAGTTGATTGACAGCAGCGTGTGGTCTCCACAGCGACCAGGTGTCGTCCAGCTCCACCTTCTGTAAGGTCTACACCCTGACCCCGACGCTCGACAAGAACCGAGAGAAGAGAGGACTGGCTCTGGACGGGAAGCTGAAGCACGAAGACACCAACCTGGCTTCATCCACCATGTAATGCACACACACACACACACACACACACACACACACACACAGGTGAGCACAGGTGTGTGTGTGTGCAGTCACGTGACCCGTCTGTCGTGTGTTTCAGTGTGAAGGACGTCACCAACAAGGAGGTTCTGGGGATCCTGGTGTCCTACAGAGTCAAAGTGAAGCTGGTGGTGTCGCGTGGAGGGTAAAGCTCAGACGTCTGATCAGTTAGAACAGGAAACGCTGCAGCTCACGATATACTAAACTACACACCTAGGATGCTTTTACTGTGAAATCCAAAACTCAACACGTTTTGTGAACGTTCATGTTTTATGATACAAACACTGAAGACAAATCAAAGCTGGTCAGACAGGAAGTGTTGTGCCCAGAATGTTTAATTAGCATCCTTCATTGTTTACGTTAATAGAACTCGATGGAGCTGATTTGTAGTCATTAAACACGTTTGTAACGTCACAAAACGCTTTAAACTGGATTAAAGAGACGGTTCTGTGTCCATGACGGGCTTTTATTTTGAAACTCCGCCTGTGTTTGGTGTTTTCAGCGACGTCTCGGTGGAGCTGCCCTTCATCCTCATGCATCCTAAACCCGCGGAGCCGCCGGCGTCGCGTCCACAGTCAGGTGAGTCCAGCAGGTCCAGACACCACCTGTACGTTCTCCTGTAACGAGTTTCCATGGCAACAACCATGTGGTGTGTGTGTTCCAGCTGTGCCAGAGATGGACCCGCCCATCGACACCAACTTGATAGAGTTCGACACAAAGTGAGTCTCGACGTTCAGTGGTTTGTTTGTTGTTTAGAAACATGAATGTTAGCTGAACGTTTCCTCCTGAAGCCTTCAGCTGCAGCGATGCTCTGACTGTCCTCTAGCGCCCCCAGCAGGCCCACCGTTGGTTCTACAAGCCAGACGTCAACATTCTCAGAATGCTCTAACAAGGTTTTCACTCTTTAACAACCAAACGTCTTCATGACTCAACCAACAGAATAGGACGATGATTAATTAAACAAAGTTGTGGCGTCGCTGCAGATTAAACGTGTCCCTAACCAGCTGGTAACGTGTTGCTAGCGTGTTGCTAACGTGTAGCTAATGTGTCGCTAACGTCCACCAGCGTCTCTGCAGATTAAACGTGTTGCTAACGTGTAGCTAATGTGTCGCTAACGTCCACCAGCGTCTCTGCAGATTAAACGTGTTGCTAACGTGTAGCTAATGTGTCGCTAGCGTCCACCAGCGTCTCTGCAGCTTCGAGTCACGTTTCTGGACTTGACGAACTGACGTAGCATCTGTGCTAGCTAGCGGACGTTAGCATCTACTAGCGTTTGATTGTGGACTTTAAAGCAGATTCTCGGTTTCGTAAACAGAAAAACAAACGTTCATCGTGACGCGCGTTGAGCTGAAATACGCAGAATTCTCTTAAAATCACTTCAACTCCACTCGGGATGTAAATTTGATTCCATTTCTGTCCGTTCTCTAGTCGCTGATCAGATGAATCCACAGAAACAACCTGCAGACTCGTTAGTCGGGACACGATGTCTGTGTGGAAGGTTTTATTGATCGATAAACGATTGAATCCAAACCGGTGTTTAACCTGATGATAAGCAAACAGCTAGCGGGTAAATCTGAGGCTAAGCTAACAGCTAGCATCTAATTTAGCAGGCGGCTGAAAACAACAGCAAAGTTTTGACCCGACTTCATTGATCTGAGTCGATCGATCAGTGAACACAGCGTCATGTGACTCTTGATCTGCGTGTTCGGCTCTGATGATCATTATTGATGAAGTGATCGGCTGTTATTGACGAGGGCAACACTCAGGGTATCAGCTGTCTTCCTCGATCACCAGTAATCAATATCAGACCTGATAAAGGTGATCAGTTTGTCCTCAGAATAACGTCCACTGTAGCTAATGAGCTTCATCAATAAGTCACCTGTTGACTGATATTTATTAGATTATTGATCATCTCTGACTGATTATTGATTGGCTCTCTGATTGATTGTCGATCGGCTCTCTGGCTGATGATAGATCTGGTTATTGATCTCTCAGCAGCATCTCCCAGGACGACGACTTCGTGTTCGAGGACTTCGCCCGGCTGCGGCTCAAAGGCGTGGTGGACGATAAGGACGAGGACTGCTGAGCCTCCGTCGCCGCTTCCACTCATCACAGTTCAGCTACATTCCCTGCCGGGGGACGGAGGAGGAGGGAGGTTTGGAGGCGTCGCTGCTGCTCTTCCTGCTTCGTCTCGCCGCCGCCATCATTTCTCGCCGCCGCCGCCTCCATCCGTCTCCTCCGTTTGTGTTTTCGCTGAAGGCTGGAGGTCGCGTGGGCGGAGCCTGAAGGAAGCAGCAGCAGCGCTCGTCTTTTTTCTTTGAAACGTTTCCGAATGTCGACCGTTTCTCGCCGTCTTGTACAAACAGAATCTATATTTGGAAAAAATAACAAAAAAAAAACAACCTACGAGCAGTCGAGAGCCGCTTTGTTTTCCTCTTTCAGCTTTTTATCACCAACACTCACAGAAGTCTTAGCTCGAGTTCACCAGCATCCACTCGTCACGTCTGTAGAACCGTCCGGCGGCGACGCTCCTTCGCTTCACATCGTCTTTACTTTGAAGATGTTCGACGGTTTCTGTCGGTGCGTTTTGTTGTTTTATCGTCAACGAGTTTCATGAAAAGATGAAAACCAAAAGTTCAATCATCAGAGGAGAAGAACGGACGGTTCCTCGAGAGAAGAAACCAGTAGAACCAAGAAGAGAATCCGGCTGCTTCTGACGACGTCGGTTCATAGATCTGAGTTCAAGATGTTGAACACTGAGAAGGAAATATTTGTCTTTTTTCAGCATTTTTAACATTCTTTAAATATTCAATTATCCAAATCTCGTGTTTTTTCAGGCCAATAATCAGCAAAGTGTTTGAGACTTTTGGACCTTTTACCCTTAAAGCTGCACTTTTGCTTTAATGACAGAAAGAAAAATCTGAAAAACAAAACATCTGATGTTTGTGTGAAAAATGCAGCTTCAATAAAAAATCTGAATATTTTCAGAATAAGAGCTCAGAATTTCAGCTTCTGGTTCCCTGAACGGTGAAATTATCGATTAGCTCGTATTTAAAGTGGAGCTGAAGTCAAACACAAATAAAAACGTTTTTGGTGAATAAAATCTACATTTTTATGTGAATTTCTTCTCCAAACGAGTTTCCTAAAGTCGACTTTGCAGGAACGTCGTCGTTGAACTTTCACGTTTCTTCGTTGGTTTTCGTCTTTTCTTTGAATTCGTCGACGTCTCGGCTTCGCGTTCAGTTCGATGATCCACTCGTTGGTGTTTTTTGTTCTTTTCCACGACGGAGCTGAATTCACTTAAACAGTTAAAATTTCACGTCTTTGTTTTGTTCTTTGCTGTTAAAAAAGCCGAATGTTGACGTAGAAACGGTTGAAAACGCCGAAGCTTCCTCGTCCACGCCGATCCTCGTCTGCTTCGTGAGACGGATCCACGCTTCGGTCCGTTGTTCGTTCACGAAAAACCGATTCTGAAGCCAAATCTGTTTCCGCTGAAGGTTTCCGACAGTGGAGACTCGACGTTCTCTAAACGTTGAAGGAAAACCTGCTGTTTGTTTCTGACTAACGTGCGTCGTGCCTCCACACACGAGTCCTGTGCTGCTGTTCATGTCGTGGCTGAATCGGACCGAACCGGAAGTCACTCGTTGTTTTAAGAAATGCCAAAAATCCTAAAAGAACGTTTTCTGTTCAGGATTCAGTTCCAAGTTGTCTTAAAAACGACAAAATAAAACGTGGTGTTCCTCCTGGATTTGTCTGTTTTTGTTGAAATTCTGACTTTATTCGTGTAAATTCAGACTTTTTCTGAAACAAATGACTTTTGTGAACTTGTGGATTTGAAGCTTCATTATTTCTTCGTTATCTTCTTTGATCACATCTGATAACGAGCGTTTCTGTAAGAGTTCGACTTATTCTTGCATTGATTGGTATCCGACAGACACGACATTTGAATTATTAATTTGTCTTTTAGTCGTGAATCAAAAATAAAATGTTTGTTGCATTTTTGTTTTTCTACAAATGAGAAGATGTCGGTGTTGCTTTTCTTTTATCACATTTTTGGGACTTTTCAGCGTTTACTGAACACGTCGTCTCCTAAAGTTGGATTTCTTTCTGAACATTTGGGCTTTTCGTCTCAGAACTAGAACCAGAATCAGACCGTAGCTGCTTTCTGCCTGACGGTCGACGTGATAAACGAACCGGTGCCATTAAACCTCGACGGCCAAAACGAACCGGCGGCGGCAGCAGCAGCAGCGTTTCCTTCGACTGCACTTGAAACAAACTCTTTAAATTTGAAGGACTTCGGCGGCGGTTCTGCTTTTCCTGTTCTTTCTCTAAAACGTCAGCTCGTTGATTTTCACCCCAAAAAGTCAAAATAAAATCTCGTTCAGTTTCAGGAGTTTCTGCACTTTGATCGTGTTTTTTTTCCTCCACCAGAAGAATGTTTGATCTTTTTTCTAAATCGTTCGTTGGTTTGTTTTCTTTTGGTTTCCTGTCTGTAAACTGCCAAACTCCCTCCTCCTCCTCCTCCTCCTCCTCCTTCGCCATCCTTCGCTCAGACGGTCAGAAGGGAAGAAGAAGACGCCGCCGCCGACGCGGAGCATGTTTTTAATTTTTCAGATTTCTTTTTTATTTTCCAAGCAGTGCTGTGAATCGTACGAGCTGTGATTCTGTCCTTACTTTGTCGTGCATATGTGGGGTAACTTTGCTAAGTGTGAAAATATTTTGACAAGTGCCACGCCCCGGCCTGTGCGATGCTACCATACTGTCTGTAAACAGGAAGTGATCTGCTGGTGGACCGACACCAGGACGGATAGAGTTCTGATTATTATGCTTCTGATTATTATTATTATTATTATTATGGTGACTATTATTATTATTATTATTATTCTACTGTATCATCATCGCGACCATGATTATTCTCATAATCATTTAAGAGTCTATTGTTTTGCCATGTATTTTTTATTTTGAGATTTTTATTTTAGTTTTCTTTTTATTATTAAAGGTAAAATGAACTAACAGAAGTCGTTGCCGTCTGGTCATTCTGCAGCTCGTCCACGTGGTTTTATTTGATTTTTTCAGGTAAGAAGGGGAAAAAAACGTAACTGAACCGAATTCAGTCGGAAAATGAGATGTTTTTAGGAAGATTCTGGTGAATTTTTCGTTGACCAAAACCTGCACAAGACTCTCGATCGAGGCTTTTTTCTTTTCTAAACACCTTTTCTAGCGTCGGCCCACATGAAGCACAAAAACATGGCTGCTTCTAGTAGCGTTTTTATTTCTTTACAACTTGTTCTACCGTTTGTTACCGTCCGTACACGACGTTTAATTAATGTCAAAAACAGATCGTAGAAAAGCCGAAGCCTTGATGCTGCGTTCTGTCCGACGGCCAGCAGGGGGCGACTGTTAAAGACGTCTGATCGTATTAATGAGAACACGATCCGACTTCTGTCTCGATCTGAACATCTTCCCGACAAGTTTATTGTCTCAGTCGCTGGTTTCAGATCTAATCCAACGCAGCGTGATGTACCGTAATGTCCGGACAATAAGCCGCTACTTGTTTCACACATTTAAAGAACGATGCGGCTAATTTACGGACTTTCTACGAATTTACCTCAAGGCCAAAGTGACACAGAGCGACAACAACAGAGAGACTGAGGAAGTGATTCTGAGGCTTAAAGTCAGTGGGTGTGGCTTATATTCAGGTGCCTCTATAGTCCAGAGTTTACGGTAAATGTAGTGATACATGAGCTGATGTCGGTTTTTCATCAATGTGCAGGTTTATGGACTTGAAACTAATGAGACTTTATCTCCCAACGCCGGCTTCAGTAAAACATAATCACCATGGAAACCAGATTTAAAACTCGGTCATGTGACAGAAGGTCATCAGTCCTGGTTCTGCTTCGTTTATTTACTAACTGGATCTGTTTATCTAAAAGTGTAAACGTTCCTCTAAAAACAGACACAGATTTGATTTGAACTTTTCTTTTTAATCATGAATCACGTCGGAGCTTCGTTAGAGTCCAGCGAGCCGGCGGTCAAGGGAACGTTCTAGAAAAACTAGCGTTATGAGTTCTGGGTCGGGTTCTGGTGAGTCGGGGGTTAATCTTTTCACAGCTGTTGTCGTCGTCATAAAGCGTCGTAGTCGTCGTCGTCCTCGTGCTTCCTCTTCAGCGACTCGCCGCCGGAGTTCTGCGACACCATGTTGGTGGTGATGAGGATGTTCTTGGAGCCGATCAGAGACGGGTTGATGAGCACGTTGGAGACGGCCGGCGTCGACGGCGTCGCTGTCGGGACGAAACACAGTTCAGGACACGTTAACGGACTCGTTGCACTACAGTGTACGTGTCTGGTGAGTAAAAACAGTTCAAACGGGTCTGATGTGGTCCTCCACTGAGGTTCTGGACGTGGTTCTTGGAGACGTCATTAATAATAAAGTTAGATCCAGAAAACTAAACATTCACGACTCCTACAACCTTTTTTTTTTTTTTCCTCTTTGAGGATTCAGACTTCATCTCTGATCAATGAAACTGATTTAGAAATCAATCAGGAACCTTTAAACAACGTTTCCTGTAACTACTAACTGGAGGCAGTAACTGGGCTCTTACTGGTCTTGGTGGTGGCCGTCTGGGAGGGCGGTGGGATCTGAACGGTGAACCTCTGGCCAGTCAGAGACACCGGAGCTCCGACTTTAGTGGAGACCGACTGGACGGACGGAGTCCCTGAGAGCAGAACCACCATCAGCACACTGGACTGGTTTAACTGGGAAGACGGCGGCGCCACTGGTCCACCAACATCCACATGAGCTGTTCTGAATGTTTGACTCATTAAACTGATTAAAGAACAGATTTAAGTCACGCGTCGATGTTTCAACTGACAGGAAACTGATTGATTCCTGGTTCTGAACCCAGAAACACACCAGAGTTTAAAACCTGTTTTCTTTTTTTATTATTTATCAAACAGAAAGAGTCGATTAATTAATCGTTGAGAAAATCGACCAAATGTCTCAAAGATTCTCCGTACAGAACCTGGTTTAACCAGTAAAACAGCAGGTTCTGGTTCCAGGACTCACCGAGCGTCGGCGTGGTCGGTCTGCTGGAGACGGCGCCGACGCTGAGGCGAGGAACCGAGATCCTGCCGGCCGACGATGACACCTGCAGAGGAGAACAAAGTCAGTGGCGCCGAGCTGCAGAACAGAACCTCTGAGCAATCCCTGGAGTGGGTCGGGACGCTCACCTTCTTCTGGATGGACTTGAGCCTGTAGTTGGGGGCGGTGAGGCAGTAGCGGTCCGGGGGCAGCCGGGGGCCCGTGTAGGGCTTGATGAGCGGGAGGGGGGTCTGGTTCTTCTGCCGGGCCACCTCCAGCAGGAACTGGACACGGAGACAGACACTGAACACATCTGACGGGTTCTTGAACCTTCAAACACACCTTCATGACAGAAGGACCAACGCTGACCAGATCTGGTCCATTAAGAACAGCTGATACTGAAGGTTGAAGAGTTTATCGATGTTCTGTCCAATAAACTTCACCTGAACAACAGATATGATGTTCAGCTTCCTGTCGGCAGCGTCTGACTCGATTTAAACATCAGAACACATTTTAGAAAACAGGTCGAAGTTCCTTCACGTTCTGTTGTTCACACCTGCACATTCAGAACCATCAACATTTCTCACGTATAAAATGTGTTTTTCCACACGTGCAACATCCGACTTCTGTGTTTCAGTTTGATCTTATTTATCCGACAGCGAACGACACGTTATAGACGCACCTGAAATGTTGTCGCTGCTAAAATATTATTTTCATTATTTCCTGGATGAATCTATCAGACGTTTGGTCCAAACATCTTCAGTTTACTGTCACAGAGACAGAAACCAGAAAACATTCACTGATTTTAATCATAGAAGTTCGTCATCCGGTCCTCACTATATTTAATGTTCGACAAAAATCAACCGATCGCTGTAATCCAGTAAAATCAAGTTTTACGGAAACTCTTCTTGAGTTTTAGTTTGTTTGGTTGATCAGGTGTGACGAGGCTGAGAAAAGAGAGACGGCTGCTGCTTACGTCTCTGGGCGGCGGCGACGTGAACGACTGGTCCATGCGGCACTGGATGGCCAGCTTGATGTCGTCGGCGTCCACGCTGGACTTCTTGGCGTGTGTGGCGTAGATTTTGGCGTCTTCGATGATGGTCGTCACGTATCCTGCAGAGAAAAGCAGCAGCTGAGCGATCTGAACACACCAGCATCAGTAACACAACCTGGAACCACAGAGTCGGAGTTTTAGTTTTTTTAAAGGAGAAAACTTGTTAGAAGTTAAATATTTCACGTTAAGCGTCACTGAGCTGCTTTTCTGATGCATGAAGACGACACAGGACTCAGAAAACTCAGTGAACAGAGTAAAGAAAGAAGAAAACAACCCAAACGATGAAGACATGAACATGTCCAGCAGGAATCACAACGTGAACTCACTGTAGGTGAACTCCAGCATCTGGTTGATGACTCGCGGCTCGTACTCGGTGATGCCCATGTCCTTCAGGATCTGGATCATCACCTGCACAGACGCAAAACTACATGAAGCATTCTGCCCAAAAAACAGGCTCAGTTCTGTCTGTTCATTTGGGAGGAACCAGAGGTGTTGCTGATGTGTGAGCCTCCATCCTCTCTACAGATGCTTTCACACATCTGCTTCTTCCTCCAGATGTTCTGCTCCACTTCCACAACGCGTCTCTGTGTGTAAACGCAAACACAGGATTCCTGCTGGAGGACAATGAAGTTTTTCTCTATTTTCTCCGCCATCAACACGTTTTATTTTTATCTATTAAAATGTTTGTCTCTGAAGCTGCGTGTCAGAAACGTGTTGAATTAACGGTTTTAGATGAGACGGAGCTCCTCCGTGGCCTCGTTGCGCCGTTTTCACCGTGATTCAACCCAAACTGTGATCCAGGAAGCAGCAGGCTGCAGAACCAACTGACCCGGTTCGTGCTGAACCCAGAGACCAGATTCACTGCGACACCTCCTCCGGCTTTAACTCCGAACAAACTCCCGGTGTGTCGGGTTGAAACACGACGAAGAACGGACGTAAATCCAGAATTATTCCGCAGAAAGAAGCCGCTCTGTGGACAGACGACTCACGGCGACACCAAAACACCGCGGAGCTAACGGCTAGCGGCTAGGCTAACATGCTAGCTGGCTATTGTTGTGAACGGAGAGCTACATGCTAAGTTAGCTGCTAAGCTAAGCGAGCTAACGTGTTGCACAAACGCCCCGGCTTCTGCTGCTGCTGCTGTTCAGGGCGATTTTTACTCAGAACCGGGAGCAGCGCGGAGCTAAACTGCAGCTAAACACCGGTTAAACTCCACGAGTGTCGCTTATGAACGTTACCTGAGCGTCTTTCGGGATGGTTTTCGGAGCAGACATTTTAATTTCTCCCGCAGCGCCTGTGCGTCTTCTTCTGCTGCTGCTGTCTCAGCGCGGAGCTCGATGCTGCCCCCGCAGGCGGACAGCGGGTACTGCAGCAGGCCGATACCGTCATGTTGAAACAGGAAGGTTTGAATGCTTCTGTTTATTTCACCACAAAAATATCTTCACCATAAAAGTCACACACGTACCTAAAACTGATGATTAATCTGTGAATTGTTTTCTTCATTAATCAATTAATTGTTTGGTCCATAAATCAACAATGTTGATGCTGTTTCCCAAAGTGTGGACGCAAAAATACCAGAACGAAGGGTTAAAATACCAGCGTGCTGTTTCCTCATCAACAGAAAACATCCCTGTTACTCCTCTAGTGTCTGTGTTGATGTAAACTGTAATCATTGATAGCATTCATGCTAATAATGCTATATAATGAGTTGAATGTTCGATGCACGTCTGATTTAAATATTAAGGTTCATAAGAGTTCTTACTGAAGGGTCTAAATATGAATAATGATCATTTTTATCAGGTGTGAGAGAGCTTCAGGGAAATAGCGACAAACCAAGTCAGAGTTTAAACCTGCAGGAGGCGCTACAACCTCAAACACTGAAGCTCCTGCTGGTTTCATCTCACCAGGAACCTTCTGACTCCATCCATGTGCTTCATGAGCTGGTTTTGATACAATAAATTTAAAAAGAAAAGAAAAAACTAACAAAAGTCACGTCTTTGAGAGAAACTCGAGTCGTTTTGAGGAGAACTGGCTTTAGAACTACGTCCATCAGCTGGATGCAGGCGAAGACTTCGTTGTGGAAGAAATGAGAATCTGATTTATAAAAGCGGCCTTTCGGAGCTTTAATACGTCCGTTAGCTGCTTCGTCTCAGACAGACGTCTTGGATCCAGATGTTGAAGATGAGCGGCTCAGCTTTCAACCAGAAAAACGGTGAGATCGCTGCTGTGGAGCAAAAAGTACCGTAAAGTAACAGGAAACAACAATTCAGTGACAAATAATCCCATATTTAGGTATTAAATGGATTCATCATCAGTTTCTCTGCTCAGTTTTAATTTCCAGTTTCTGCACATAAACGTTAATAAATCTTAATAAAACCAACGTCCAGAACCTGTGAACTCCAGGTTCTGGTTCCTACCAATGATCCACATCAACAGTTAGTCCAGATATCCACAAACCAGAACCTTGTCTGGTCCAGCTTCACCACATCAGGTTCTGCTGATGTTAGAGCCTCAACAGCTGGTGAAATGTGACCAGAGACTGGGTTCTAGTAGAACCATGGATCCATCCACAGACAGCACGTATACACACGGTCTGAAAGCTCCTGTGGAAACATGGTTTGCATGAATAAACCAGATAAACAAACGTCCCTCTGGTTGTGTCAGTGAGACCACATCGCCACCATCAGGTGAAGCTGTGAATCGCTCACAGTTTGTAGTCCTGAGATGATCAAAGCTGTGATGTCACCAGATGTCATCGATAATTTAACCAGAACAATCTGTAAAACTAATGCTTACTCTTTGTCTTAATGCACATATTGTTTGTTTCACATGGCAGCAACTACCTGTAAAATAAATCAATAGATTTTGGATTATTTAAGAGCAGTAAAATCAAATAAATTAAAAAAAAAAAAAAAGCTGTAATTTTATAGTCAGACGTTGAACAAAAACAAACACAAACAAATCACCGTTTATAAAAATGCAGATGCCTGATGTGGACATTCATTATTTCTCCGTCTCTACTTTAGGTCATGAAGATGAATCCGGGCCTTCGCTCACTTTCGACCCAGTTTCGAGTCGCCTCGGCCGGTTTGACCTTCAGCAGTCCAACATGGAGGCCGCTGGTGTCCCGGCTGCCTGTCTGGAGGCACTTCATGAGCCGCTGGAGGTTTTCCCACCGCCCATCTTCTCCCCAAACACACTTTAACAAAACAAAATCACTCACGAGCTCGTCGCTGTGTTTACCTGCAGCAGCGTTTATGGACACACACGGTCGCCATAAAGCCCTGAGAACCACGACACCTTCCACTGTACGGGCAGGACGCAGCGTTTTCAAAATGATTAACCTTTACAGCCGCCTCGTAAACACACACACACACACACACACACACACACACACACACACACACACACAAATGTCACTTTTTACTGTTGAATAAATGCCTATAAGATCAATAAAATGCTGAGTGAATGAATTAAACAGTTAATCAAGCACCAAAAAATAAACAGTAAAAGATTGAAACGTCCTGACTTCCTGCTTTATCTGTAATAATTTAAATAATTAGATATTTTTCACTCTTGGCTTTAAAAACTAAACAATCAGTCGTTTAATCAAGAAAATAATAAAATAAATCTTTTCCAAAACACTAAACGATGAGCTCCAGTGAAGCAGCTTCAGGCCTGAATAATCATAAAGAAGAGAGAAGTCGTCCTGGAGATTAAACTGAGGTCAGAATTAAAACCTCACGTGACACTGAAATGCACAAACTACATTCATGCTGGTATATCTGTGTAGATCTGGCTCTGGGCAAACGATGGCGGGAAGCAGGAGGAGCCGTTAGCATGCTTGAGGGGAGTTAGCATTGTAGCATCGGAGGTGTGAGTCCTGGGGGTCGTGACCTCTGGCCCCGCCTCCCTCCTCCAGGTGACCTCCGGCGTCACTAAAGCGCCGCTAAAGTTCTTGAATTATGAGATGATTACAAAGCAAACAGTGACTCAGTCGCTTCAGAGGACGTTAAACCGACTGGTTCATTTCCTGAAGAGTAAATCCTGAGCAGGTTGTTGCTTTTATGACAGTTTTAATGTGACTTAAATAAGGTGTTTTTATTAACTTCTGGAGGTTAAACCGACGTCTGACAGAAGACCTAAACATATATCTGTGGCTAAATGTGTTTGTAGAAGCTTCCATCCACCTGTAGACACCACGTTTATCACGAGAGTCACTGAAACATGAACCTTTGTCACAAAAACAATCCTGCATTTTGGTTCTTTAACAGATTTATTAAAGGTTTTCTGGACACGTGTTTGTCAGTTAAAGCTCCACTGAAGTCTGCTGCTGGTCACATGGACAAAGAAAAGGCCTTCTGGAGGAAAGTTCTGGTCAGATGGAACCAACACTGAGCAGAACCATGTCTGGAGGAGAGAAGGTGAGGCCTTTAACCCCAAGAACACCAGACCTACCATCAGGCATGGAGGTGGCAGCATCATGCTCTGGTTCTGTTCTGCTGCCAGTGGACCTGGAGCTTTACACAAAGTAGATGGACCAAAGGAAGAAGAAGGAGGATCACCTCCAGGTTGTTCAGGAAAACCTGAAACCATCAGCAGAAGGTTGATCTTGGACACAGGTGGATGTTCCAACCAGACAATGAGCCCAAACACACATCAAAGTGGTGAAGAAATGGTTCCATCAGGCTGGAATGAAGGTTCTAGACTGGTCTCCCCAAAGTCCTGACTGGAACCATCCAGAACCTGTGGACTGATGAAGGAACAAGTCTGAGTCAGAAAGACGACAAGTTTAGTTGAACTGCAGCGGTTCTGTCCAGAGGAGTCAGAGATGGACCAGAAGCTGGTGGACGGAACCAGAAGAACCCGACTGAGGAGGACGTTTAACCAGATGTTAGCATCTTTGTTTGTTTATTTATGGCCCAAAAGATTCTGTCTTGTCTCCAGAAGACCTTCAATAAATCTATGAAAGAACCAAAACACAGGATTGTTTCATCAGAAGCTCAGGACTGAACAACATTCGTGGTTTCTACAAGTGTTTGTAAATGTTTGTCCACGACTGTATGAATGTGATTGAGGTGATCAGACTTGTTCTTTGTCCCCATTAGCGGCTGTGTAAACACATTTCTGTCCGTCTACATGACTAATATCCTCCCAGCAGGCGGCGGCTGCTTTCATGTGTTTCATGTGTTGGAGCGAATCACAGAAAGCGTCCATCAGTCAACAGGCTGCTGATCAGCGGCTGCTCTGAGCTTCAGGTTTCATCAACAAGCGGATCAGCAGCATTTCAGGGTTCAGATTCAGAGACACCACTGAACCCAAAACCCACCGACGGGTCGACAGACAGAAAACCAGCCACACACGAGTCGACCAGAAGAAGTTTACAACACAGCTCCACTTATCCACAACGCATCCAGCAGAGATAAGCTGCTGCTGGAGAAATATTAATGACGGCTGTTGGAAGAATCAATAAACGTTACTGACAAACTGAAACCAGCTCAGAAGGATCAGTGACGACTAAGTTAATGCTGAGAATCAGTGATTTTATCAGTGTTTGGGTTTTGCTCTCACAGTCATGAACAAAAAACTCTTCTTATGTTTTAACTGAGACTGTGTTCAACCAGATGAACTCGTTAATATTTGGGCCTCTGGAGGGAAACTAGATCTGTGTAGAAATGCTGTTAGCGGCGTTCAGCATTAAATAAGAACACAGACGTCTGGTGGCTTCTTGCTCAGTGGAAACCTCTCAGAACTACACGTTGTACTTTAAACATCTCTGAAACGTTTCACCAGAAGCAGGAAGAAGAATCAACTTTACGACAAACTGAACATGTGTGTACGCTCAGAAATGTGAGATCTAGTCAAGATCCCTTTATTCTGCACGTCTGATTTAACAAACCAGATTCTCTACATCAGCGGGTCTCCAACGTTTTGACCGAGACCCCCAGTTTGAATTCTTAACATGTGATCAGTAAGAACTCTGTTGTTTTGTCCATTAATGAGTTAAAACTAACGTCCACAGATTGAACTCTTCACATTGACACGGTAGTTTTTTTTTTTTTTTTTTTTAAATGAATAAATTGAATCTATTTTGAACAAATGAAAACAAAAAAAATATAAAAACAAAAAAAAGTAATTGAAGAAAGAGAAAAATAATAAAATCATATAATCAGATCAGTCTGAAGCAGGAGGAGGAGGAAGTGTACACGTTTAATGTTGACAGCCCTGATGCACATTTATGTGATAAATGGAGCCTTTATTTATTTTTATTTTTTTACAATGACCTGGCGACCCCCTGGAATTATCTTGGGTCC